TGGTTTCTTTTCAGTCATTCACTCACTCTTTGACGCAATTGTTTTCAATCAACAATTATTACATCATTTGTGACATACATTACGTCAACACTCACTCAAAGTGCACACACTTTTTGTCATACATTTGGCTCTCATTTAAACGATTATTAAATTATGTTTTCTTTTACATAGATTTTAATTTCAATAATTGATTCATTCGTTTAGTTTTAGTTAATTTAATGAATGAGTAAATTGTAAAATAACCAAAAAAGTTAATTAATAACAAATAATAAAATATAAAATACAAATATATAACGTAACGCATAAATGGTAAGCGAGTGGACAATAGGGGGCAATAAAGTGCACGTATTGTCCAATAGATTGTCAATCAAAGGGTTGTGAATGATGTAAACAATGTGTACGTCATGTGTGAACGTATCGTACAAATAGCGCACATAATTGTTGCGCTCTGTGTTGTAAAGCGTCCAAAGTTTCGTCACTTTATAATAGCTTTGATTGGCTTTTGGTTTAAATGTTTGCCACAAAATCACTTGATATGACCTTTTGGTGCCATCGCTCACACCATTCACACCACTGATCACTGGATCCGATGGACCACTCACTGCAGGCCAGCGACCAGTCCTTCGACGCCATCGCCACTAACATTGTGTTTGACAAACAAATACCTGTTTATGGCTACCAATCGAAGGATCAGTTGATGAAAAGGGAGCGACAATTGTCTAAATTCTTCAAATGCTGTCCAAACGCGGCCACCGATGACCTCAACAATGGCACCAATGAGTGCTTCTTCGCCACTAACGACGCCAAAGAGTTTGCCCAACACTTACAGCGCTGTCACCAAAAGGTTTGCTGTATTTATTGTCTTCTCGAGAGTCGCCTCCGAAGCGGTGACTCCGGAGCCGACGTCGAGCTCGAAGTGGATGTCTTTGAGACCACCGATTGTCAGTCACTCATCGATCATATGATTCAAACCCATGGAAAGCGTGTCTATCAATGCAATCGATGTCTGTATCGGGCCATCACTTGCGGTCACATTCAGATGCATCAGATCTCAAGACACACTCAAATCTGGTATTTATTTGTGTTTTTATTATCAATTGATTTGACATTTATATTATGTTTTTATCTCTAAGGTCTGAACACAATTCTAAGCTTAAGATTGATTCGTTGGAAGAGCTAAATGAAGACATTTGTAAGATAATTGTCTGTAAAGACATCGACACCGATTCAATAGTGGAGCCGTTGTCTTGGATCTCGAAATTGTCACCCGATTTGGACACACTTTTAGACGACGACAAGTCTTACTGTCTTTACTGTGATTTTAATGACAAACAAATGACGAATGTATTGATTCATTGTCATGAAAGACATCCCGACTTCGCAATCAGTGTCTATAATAAAGAGTTGGAAGATATCTATGCGTTGGACGACGAGATTAGTGACGAATCAGATGCGGTGGCCGTCGTCTCAGACGATGACAGCAGCGATATTAGCGATTCGGACGTGGAGTGCGAGGCAAACACTGGTCCCAAACCGGCGACCGTCCCGTTCAAGACTCAGTGCACCACTGAATGCATGCCTGATATACCGGGCCTTTCGGACGATTTCTTGGCTCCACGACAACTGCCAACTAAACGAAGGCTTCCCTTCAGCGGCAATAGAAGGCCTCCTAAACCGTATAACGAATACACTGAATATCGTCCGCCAGTGGCCACACCTAATGTCTCACAATTCGCGTCCAATCCCGACACATTTGATATGGATTTTTCCCGTCCCATAACACCCATTACTCCCATTCCTTTGACATCCACTCCTGTGAACAGAGTTCCGATACAACATATGAATCATATTATCAATAAATCAACGAATAAAAAATCTCCCAAAAAGTTTATAGACCACGACTGTCCTAAACCACAGGACCCGCCATTAGTAACCGGCTATAGAGCCCATAAACTTCAGAAATACGGAACATTACATGTGCCGAACAAACGTAAAAACAAACACAAAAACAAACACAACTCAACGCCAAACAATCCGTCGACAATCTCTACCGATGAGATCTCTTCCGAGAACGTGATTGACGTCGGCATGATTTACGGGGATTTACATACGGGTTCCGATGACGAGACGTCCACAAGAACTCCCTCTTTTAAAGTGATTAAAAGAGTTGGCGTTCAGACGCCTAAAGGCAAGTCCAAGACTGCGGCCTTCACTTATGTGCCGCGAAGAGACGAGTCCGACGATTACGTGAATCTCGTCAATGAGCCTACGGTTCCGAAGCGGGGACTGAAAGCTCGGTTTGAAAATCAGCATCACTTCCAACTCATTATTCCGGGCGTTTCCGACCAAAAGCTTAAACACATGTATAAATGCGTTCTCTGTCCACACGCGGCTCCCTTTCATCAGACCAATCGAGTCAATCACTTACGCACCGAACATAACAGCGACTCTTCGTTTAAGT